CCCCCCCCCCCCTCCCCTCTCCTCCGCCATGGAAGGTTTCGACGACTCCTTCTATCAGGCACACTATCCCATACAGGACCCCCAACTGGGTCCTCCCTCCGATTATCCTCACGCCCAGCAAAATTCTCTCCTTCCGCTAGCTTACCCCAGTTCCGATCAGTTTCAACCGGAAACTTTTCCCTACCAATCGCACCCCTCAGATTTCTTGTCCAACGGTGCCCCTGGTGCCCTGATCCCATCCCATCCAAATGCATTGGCTCTGCATCAATCCGGTCTGCATAGCCACCACCCGGCCCCGTCCCGGACACCCGGTCTGGGAAGCCGAATCGCAAATGCCTCGATGCATGCTTACGATCCGATGTCTCTCCCGGGCCACGGCATGGTCATGAGCATGGAAGCAGCAAATAGCTTCGCTTACGATGCCTCCACTTTCCATACAGCCGGCGCTTTAGATCCCAATCTCGATCGCCATCCTACCGTCCAGCGCCCCCCTTTGCCTACCCAAGTCATTGATCTAGATCCTCCCGTTCCTGCTGCATATTCCATTCCCCGGAATCAATCGGCTCTCGCCACCACATACTGGGCTCCGCCTGTGGCTCAGGATCTAAGCACTCCCGTACAACCTGCAGTCGCCGCCGCCCCCTCCGCCCCCGCCGCTGCCAGGCCTCCCGTCGAAACCCCCTCCACATCGACGGCCCGCCCCGCGCGGGATCAGAGCGGCGCGCGGCGTGCTGGTGCTGCTGCACAGGCGGAAGTGCAACAGCAGTCCTACGGGCAAGCCTCGAATACCACCGTAGCCCATCGATTCATCCAGCCAAAGCGGCCTTCACCAAAGGGTGGGTATTGCTCTATTTGATTCCAATCTGAGTCGGAAGGCTGATGCGGTTTCTTTACGCTTCTTAGCAGCCGTACCGCCTCGGGCCAAGACAGAAGTGGGTAGCGAGTCTCCATATTCCAGCATTTACTCCAGCAGTGGCTTCGATATCTTGGGCATATTGGTAGGTTCAAGTGCTGACCCGCCTACTCAACGCCATCGCCCACTGATCGACTTCCTTCTAGGCTCAAGTAGTGTCCCGGCCGGATGCCAAGATAAATATTGGTGCGGTGGACTTGTCCTGTGCCTTTGTGCTCTGCGATATCACCCAGGATGACCATCCCATTGTGTACGTCTCGGAGGCGTTCGAGCGGCTCACTGGTTACACCAATGATGAGATCGTGGGCCACAACTGTCGGTTCCTGCAAGGTCCCGACGGTGTGGTGTACCAGGGCATGCCGCGGAAGTTTGTCGATCAGAACACCGCCTTTCGCTTCCGGTCAACCATCGAAGATCGGGCTGAGATTCAGGCCAGTATCATCAACTACCGAAAAGGTGGACAACCTTTCGTGAACTTGGTTACCATGATTCCGATTCGATGGGGTGGCCCGGATTACCGCTTCTACGTCGGCTTTCAGGTCGATTTGGTCGAACAGCCCGACGCTGTCACCCGACGAAACCCCAGTATGACCCTCTCAGAACCCGAGCTGTTCATTGAAGCTGGACTGACATGACTCTTCCGCAGATGGCACGTACATGATCAATTATCAACGCAGTCAATTGCCCAACTACGTAGTCCCGTCTCCGGAGATGTACCGAGTCAACCCGGAGCTGATTACTATGTGGGCTCCGGAGCAGGTGTCGACAATTCTCGACAGCCTAAACGGCTCTATGCCCATCTATCGAGAATTACTGGATCGAGTTTTGGTGGAAAACACGGACGATGTCATCCATGTGCTTTCGTTTGAGGGTGAATTCCTCTATTTGTCCCCGTCTTGTCCCAAGGTCCTGGAATATGACGCGGTAGAACTAGTTGGGAAGGGCTTGTCCACCGTCTGCCATCCGAGTGACATCGGTCCTGTGATTCGCGAACTCCGTGCCTGCATTACTCCCGAGCCTGTGAGTGTGGCGTACCGCATCCGGAAGAAACATAGTGGATATGTCTGGTTCGAAAGCCACGGGTCGTGGCACATCACCGACCGCGGACGGCAATACATGGTTCTGGTGGGTCGTCCCCGGGCCGTGTACAGTCTTGATCATGTTGCTGTCGTTGGCCGTGGAGGCTTGGCAGAGAACGACCTTTGGGCTAAGCTGTCGATGTCCGGAATCGTCCTCTATGTTTCATCGAAGACGCGGCCGGTGCTAGGTCGGTTGCCGGAAGACCTGATTGGTAAGAGCATTCAGGACCTAATGGGAGCGGACACGCGACCACAGGCCTTGCAGGCGCTCGAGGCAGCGAGGGGTGGCCAACAGGTTTCGTTCAACCACAAAATCCGTCACCGCAAGGGCCACATGCTCCAGGTACAGACGACGCTTTTACCCGGCGATGCAAAAGAAGGGGCCCCGCCTTCTTTCCTGGTGGCGCAGTTACGCTTCCCAAAGATGTCCACGCCCGGGGCATCTGACGAACCGGGTTCATCAAGTGACTTAGGGCTCGCGCCAACCGGGGTGGACTTATCCGGGCTGGTGGGAACCAACCGGTTGCCAGCGGGCAATCAGCAATTAGCCTCGTTGGAAGATAATACGCTGTTCACGGAGCTGGCGCCCACGCGGGGTTCCAGCTGGCAGTTCGAACTGCGGGAATTGGAGAAGCAGAACCGCACCCTGTCGGACGAGATGCAGCGGTTGATCACACGGCGGAAGAAGCGCAAGCGCAAGCAGAGCACCATTGTGGTGGAAAAGAGCTGCTCGATGTGTCGGGCAAAGACTACCCCGGAGTGGCGGCGGGGACCCAGTGGCAACCGGGACCTTTGCAACAGCTGTGGACTGCGCTGGGCGAAGCAAGTGCGGAACGCGGCTCAGGCGACGGCCGGCGCGGTCCGCCCGGGCGTGACCTCATGATGAGTGATGAATTGTTTCGTTGTATTTGTGGATCCTTCTAGCGGTTGCTGCTTGAGTTTCTGGATAGTCTTCTGAGCATTTCATTCCTGAGATACCATTTGTGAGTAGGATGGCTTGGCCTGGCCTCCAAGGGGCGTGGGCGGGTTTATATGGAATGATTGATTAATTATGAGGGAAATGGATGGATGTGCATTGCTGCGGGCGGCGTTTTCTTTTGGTTGGGTGCGATGAATTTGAATTGTATACTACTAAGAAGGGTTTGACTTGGATATCAAATTGTGGCGGAACCTGCAGAAAGCTGAGAAGGAAAGCGTTTCGGACTCTTCGATGACTTGTCATTACAGTTGAGTGTCTAGTCTGTGTAGCAAATGACACCTGAATATACTTCAAGCGTTCTATGAATCAATCGGGGGCCATTTGAGGGAGCATATATACCACTATACATACTCCTTACTATACATACCAAATATACGCCACAGTACCTACCTAGTCTTGTGTATGAATTGATGGAGTCTACATGAATAGAGGAACTACTCAACCCCTCCATTGCAACCACTTCTCCAACCATCGTCTCTCCTCGCGCTCCACCTCCCATCCATTTCTCCCATTGCCCCGAGAACCCACCCCAACTCCGCCGCGCTCCTCCACTGCAATGCGGACCTCGGCCGCTTCCATGGCCTGAACACCGCCACTCCTCCGGATCAACTCGTCATCCACCTCCAGATAATTCAGATACCGCTCTAAGCGCCGTCGATACACCGGGAGCACGGGCCAGGCCAGGCGATCATGCGACCTCGCCAGGCCGAACACCGCGCACGCCCGAGCGACCGCGTCTCGATCCCCGTCTCCACTCACGCCCATCAACCACCTCACGCTCTTCATCTCCTTCTCACTGCCGACCTCCGGCGCCGTGACCGTCCCGCGATCGAGGAGTAGCGCCACCTTCTTCCGCTGGACGCGCTTCGCGCGCTCCTTCTCCAACTGGCGGGGCACGCGACACGTCCGCGGGGTGACGGCATTGCCGAGCGCCAGGACGACGAGGGGCGTGAATTCGCCGCAGACGATGAGGAGGAGGGTGAAGGGGATCATGCGACGGATGTCGTAGGCGGCGCGATGGAGGAGCTGGAAGCTGGAGCGTGAGATGACGCCCGGCCTGTTGCTGTTGTTGTCCTTTGCTGTCGTTGTCGTCGTTGTCTTCGTCGACTTCGTCGTGACATTGGCGCGACCCTTGCTCGCCCCCAGTGCCTCTTGCGTCACCGCCAAATAGGCGGAGGTCGGGAGATGTGCGGGTAAGTCCAGGGCGCGGCGGAGGGGCACCGCGGCGCGGTGGTTGTGGTAGACATTCTTGAGGCCGGTCTTGTAGAAGGTCAGGTAGGCGCGGCCGACGGCGAGGTAGTGTTTGAGTTTGTCGGCGGGCGAGGCCGAGGGGCCGAGGGCGGAGGGGAGGGTGAGCTCTGCTGGGCGGGTGCTCGCGGGCGGGTTGATGTCGCTGGAGAGGGAGTGGCTGGCGGTGGAGGTAAGCGATTGTGGGGACGAGGTTTGGGCCTTGGAAGAGGAGGAGGGAGACGAGGTGGCGGATGTGGTGGAGAAGTAATTGCAGTGGTCGTATCTGTTGAGCTGTTGTTGCTGGTGGCGGAGGAGAGAAGTGATGCTGCTGCTGCTGCTGCTGTTGCTGCTCAGGGAGGTTGTCGGCGGTCGTGATCGGAGCAGCACTCGGGCCTGGGGGGCTCTGAGGAAAACCGGCATTGTTTGCCGGGGTGACACAATTGAGTGAGAAGTACTTAGAGGGATGATTGATTGATTGATTGATTGAGAAGGAAGAAGGCAAAGTGCGGAGTTTGGATGGAGTAACACGGCCGAAATACTCACCTGAGGCAACAAGGCAGCATTCTATGCCTTAGGCAGCAGTAATCGTCATCGTGAAAATCAGGAGCCGAATTAATCTCAGTATATCAACTGACTTAGGATATTCTCTTGTCAAAGGTCATTCTCTGCTACCCCGTAGAGTCACATTACAGTTTGATTTATCATCAGGGATCAATTGGTAATCCGTATTTGCTGACCCATGTGACTCACTTACCACCACCACCGCGATCTATAACCACCTTGAGGTATAAACATCTCACCCACCATCCTCGTCATCAGCAACCAAGCAAAGAATATGAAGACACCGCACCTCCTCAACCACCTTGCCCACCACGCCCACACCAATATCCACTATACTACCCACGAATCAACCAAGATATCATCCACCATGACCCCTCCCAATCCACCAATAACCTTCACCACCCCGACGGCGCTCCTCCTCATCGACAACCAAACCGCCTTCACGCATCCAACCCACTGGGGCCCCTCACGGTCCAACCCGCTCTACGAGCCCAACATCCAATCCCTGCTGCTCGCCTTCCGCGCGGCGGCCGCAGCAGCAGCAGCGCAGACGACGCCCACCACCACCGCCATGGAAGTCATCCATGTCTTCCACACCTCGACGGAGCCAGACTCGCCCTTCAACCCGGCGGCCCCGGTCAACGGGCGCGAGCCGCTCGACTTCGCGGTGCCCGCGCCGGACGGCTCGGAGCCCGTCTTCTGGAAATGCGTCAACTCGAGCTTCATCGGCACGGGGCTGGAGGCCCACCTGCGCGCGCGCGGGATCCGCCAGCTGGTCGTGACGGGCTTGACCACCGATCACTGCGTGTCGACGACCGTGCGCATGGCGGCGAACCTCGGCGTGGTGGATCGCGGTCGGGGTACCCACGAGGGCGGGGAGGAGGATGGTCTTGTGCCCGTGGATCAGCGCACGGGCGCGCATGCAATCCCACCGACGGCGGATCCAGGGCGCATTCTCTTGGTAGGCGATGCGACGGCGACGTGGGCAAAGGGGGGCTTCGATGCGGAGACGGTGCACGCGGTTTCGTTGGCGAGTTTGGATGGCGAATTCGCGGAGGTGGTAAGGACTGAGGAGGTAGTCAAAGCATTGAGGAAGATTACATAGTTTTCTTTATTGGTCTTTTGTTTTTCTCCCTCTTGAATGAGGATACATAGAGGGAGGAGGAGGATTCAATAGCGTAAGTAATTTGCGGATTATGATAATGATAAGAAAGTAGTTTCGCTTCAGTGTAGCCCCCCCCTTACAACGGCACCTCCACAGCAATGATATTTTTCGACACAAAGCCTGTCACAAACAGCATCGCCGTCTTCGCCACAGAATCCTTGGGATCTACAGGGAGCAACAACGCGGTGCTGGCGGATCGGATGTTGCTTCCATCATCCTCGAAAATGAGCCGCTTCTCCCATTCCGGGTTCGCTGTGTCTCCGAAATGACGACGCAGGTGCCACACCATGACTCCTTCTTGAGCATGCGGGTCGTTGTGAGTTCGGCGCAGATCGACTGCCCGCAGCAGACCACCGACCACGTATCCGCTAGCGTCATCCTCGGGGGTTGCATAAGGATCGTCATAGTAGGTTGGATTATCGATCGTGCTCTCGAACGCAAACTCATCCAGCACCGAGAGGGTGCGGTTGCTGCGGTCTGCCCTTGCACGGTACATGATGCCTCCTGCGGCACTGGAGAGCAACAACTCTTCCTTGGACTGCCCATGGCCCAATCCGTTGAGGTTCAGGTATCCCTGAGACGCCACGACGGCATCGACGCCCGTAGCTGTGCTGTTCGACTGAATAGGATCGACATTCACATGGATGACATTGGTCCATTTTGCCAACGGGAGTATATCTTCGACCGTGCGCATGATGCCTTCTCGATAGAAGTGGTCGTTCGTGACATAAATCGAGTGCAGGCTCTCGGCGTAAATGTCGTTCGGGGTGACAATCAAAGGATGAGAAATTGAGCGGACATGGCGAACGGTGCTGGATCCCAAGACATGGTGAAAGAGCTCAATCTGGGAGTGGGCCTTCGGAATGCCTTCAGTCGAGGGCGTCTCAAAGTAGTGCGGGTTCGATAAATGGTTAATCGCATAGATGTAAATGGCACCCTGGCGATCCGGATCGTCGACCAGATCAATCCCATGCGTCACAAAGGGCCCGTGGAAGTTATCGAATGCAAGCCGCCGGGACTTGAGGGTCTAGTCGTATGCCATGAGCCTCGCATCACCATCATGCCGACTGGGTACGTCTTACCTTGGGGTCGATGACATGAAATGAACCTGCTGACTGAGCCGGCCCCTGCAAATTTCCCAGTGGCGGGAACCATTCGAAGCGGGGCAAGAGGGAGTCTTCACAGGCTACAAAGATCTGGCCAGTAGGTTGATAGTAATGCATATCTTCGCACTGCATGGTGTCTTCGATCTTATGGATTTTCTGGGCCTCGATTGTCACGATGTCAGTGGCTGTCCGGAAAACTCCCACGACGGTGAGCCAGTGACAGACAGGCCCATAAAGATTGGCTGCCACCAAGACAAGGATGGCGAGATTGAAAGAGCTCTTCATAGTGGAAAAAAGATACTCGGAAGGTAGGCTAGCCAGCGTGGTCAGTCTGCGCAGCCGTGACTGCGCTTCTGTTGAGCCGGTGAGCGTGTATACGTGTTAGTTGTCCCATTTCTCGGAACAACCTTCAAGCGGAGCATTGGAAAGAGGAAGGAAGGAGGACAAGGATGAGGATGAGGAGGAGGAGGAGGAAGAGGAGAGGAGGAGAGGAGGAGGCAAGGGGGCCGGGGGCAGGCCAACTGATGAGCAAATCTCCTCACCCAAAGAGGAATGCGGGGGGTGGGGAATTGGAGTGGAGAAGAAAGTGAATGAGCCAAAGAGAAAATGCTTGTATATGTGTGTACACAGTGTGTGTGCGCGCGACAGAAGAGAATGCATCAGGTAATAAGACAAAGTGTTGATGGAGGAGGTCGATGAGGAGGGAGAGCTTCATACCTTACTCTACTTAATCTACTGGTCTATCATACATTGTTTGCAACCTGAGTAATTGGAGTTGAGTCTGAGTCTCTCTCACTACAGCTAATTTCATCATTCCATAATTCATCTCCTCCCCCTACCCCGCTTTTCGTTAGGCTGGATGCAATCCCCTTTTCCCATTCAATTACAGAGCCCCGGATTTAGCTACGTCAGAAGAGAAAGCAAGGAAATAGAAACATAAAACCCAAAAAGCACCCCAGAAGCACTGTCCCCACTTTCTGTCATCGCTAAGTAACTCCATCCACAACCCAGAAAGTCCGTGCTATGAAGAGTCCCTGTCGTGAACCAAGCCACTCCACTAATGCTGGGACTTGGCCTCAAGGTACTCTTGATCACTGGCATCCAGGATGTCGTACTCCTCGTCTGTCAAGAGACCAACGTCCGTCTCATCATCCAAGGTCAGACTGTCCATGTCATCCAGAACATCCTGCTCCGAGCGGTAGGACACCGAGGGTGCCGTAATTGCAGCTTCGTGCGTGCTCGACTCCGGAGACTCCTTCTCCAACTTGGGAAAGATCATCTGACTACCCGTAGGCTCAGGCTGATCAGCTTCCACAGCGGGTGCCGCTTGGACATCCTCGGACGGCGAGGGGGTCTCAGCCACCGGGTTCACGTTGCGCACTTGAATATCACACCACAAACGGTGGCCAAATGGCATGCCGCTAGGAAGCTTGAGTCGCCAATAGGAAATGGCAGTGCCTAGACGGCTAGGTGTCTTGAGGGTCACCGTGAAGTCGGCACTCTGACCGGGCTCCAAAGGCTGGCTCAACTTGTTGCTCTCCATGGCGGCGGCGATGGAGTTGAGGCTCAATGGGTGGTTGGTGTCCACATTGAACATTGAATCGCCACCTACAAACTGCACATCCGTCCCGGCAGGCCACGCCAAAGGACCCGGGTTGAAGAGTGTCCATGTTTGCTGGAAAGGAGTGTTGGGAGCCATGGCCGTGTCATCGGGGATTGTGTCACGAATGAAGAAAGCTTGGTACCCAGAGGCGGGGTCCACAGCTAGGTTCTGTTCAGTCTGTTCAGCTGGGGCTGGGGTCGTGTCCACAGTAGGGCTGGCTTGCTCCACGGGAGCCGGCTCCTCAACGGCCTCTTTGGCTGCTTCGGACGCTTCCTGGACCGTCTGCTCAGGTTCACCAAGAGTGGCGGATTCAGTTGAGAGAGACTTTTCCAGGCGGTCACCGATCATGGTCACGCCTTGCTCGGATCTATCGAAGGTGCTGACCCGGACGTCGCGCACGGGGGTCTTGAGCATGAGCAATGGGTGGGTTCGATTATGCGTGTTTGTCGGGTGAACCTCGCAACTGGCGCAGAAATCGGTATCATGGCACACGGAACACTTGTACCTAGTACCAGTGATGAATGTGGGACAGGACTTGGTCCGACACAGAGGACCGTCACAGTAGATACCGTAGTGCACCTCGTGGTTGATCAAAGGCTCAGCGATCGTATCATAAAGGGGTGCGAACCGATGACCGGGGTGTTGCTGAGGGACCTTCTCGTAGCATTCGGTGCAGTAGTCCCAGTCCGGGCAGGTCAAGCACTTGTGGCGGACACCAACGATACGCTAGCACAACCGTTAGTTGACTCTAGACAACATATAAGAACCGGACAGAACCAAGAACAGTACCTTCTCGCATCCATCACAGATTGCCGCATGGTGATGATGACGCCCTGGGTTGCAACGCGACTGGACGATACTCTTCAAAGCGAACTGGCGGTCCTCAACCAGAGCGAATGTGTGGGCGGGATGATGACCATGCGAGTCCTTGAGGAGGCAGGTGATACAGAGATCGTAGTCATCACAGTCAGCACACGAGACCATCTTGCTCTCTTCATGTTCTGTGACTAGTTAACATCTTATTAGATTCAGGATACAGACAAGGAGGTTTACCTTTGAGACAGTCATTACAGATACGCAGACTATTGGGCTCTGGCGCGGCCGGAGCTGAAGGTGGAGCCGAAGCTGGGGCGGGTTTGGGAGAGGGCTCGCGGACTGGTTCGGGAGTCGACACCGTAGGCGCCTCTTTGGCGTCCTCAATTGCGACCTTGCGGGGAGGAATCGTCTCGGTGGTACTGTTGGTGACTTGGCCGTCTTTGACGACCCGTCTAATCAACCAGTGCTCTTCATTGAGACAGGTCGCTCCGCTGTTCACGCATTGAGGGCAGAGATCATAATCCCCGTTATCGCAAATGCTGCAGTGATAGTGTTCGTTCGGAATGGACAAACCACAGCGATTGCAATCGATGCAGAATACTCCGCTGGGAGAGGCATGGGACACGACCGGGAAGTGGGAACCGTCGAACACGAAGTCACGGAAGTTCGGTGGTGGAGAAGGCTTAGTCTCCCAGTGAGCAGATTGAGTCTCTGCTGGGATGGGACAAGCCACATTGTCAACCAGGTCGGTGGCTGATGCGGACGCCGTAGTAGGCACAACTTCAGCCTGAGATTCAGGGAGGGGGGAACCCAAGACAGTTTCTAGGTAGCTATATCGAGAGGCAGTCTGCTGTTCAGACGATCCTTCCTCCATAGGGGGTTGGGAAGCAATCTCATCGGCAGTAGTGGCCTTGATTCGCAGCTTGAGTTTCGCTTTGGCTGCCCGGTAGAGTTGTTTGTAAACGGCCGGGTTCTGGCTGTCCAGGTGCACATAGTTGCCGGCACTGTCCGAGTACCGCTCAAAAATCACGTTCACGTCGTCCGGCACACTAAGCAGTTGGCGGAGCTAGAGCCAAGAATAAGGGATCAGCATGCGGTAAGCGATGGGCGCGGCTTGCACAGCTGATCAAAATCCTCGTTACGAAGGGACGGAATTATAAGGAGGCATAGGCCTCCAAATGAATGAGACACATATACAGGGGAGGAGACATCATTCTAGCAGAGAAAGTGGTTTTCCGAAGAAAAAGACACTGGGGGAGAGAAAGGCAGAGAGTAGCGGAGGGAAGGGCAGGTTTCAGGCTGATTTGGGTGGGGGGGGCGGAGGAGCTCCGGTCGGCAGGTCGAATGGGGACTCGAAACTCACATTCTGGGGTAGAGTACGAGCTCCAAGCTCTTTCAACGGAATCTTGAAGCGACGAGTATTGTCATTATACAACACCTTGACTGTGATCAAAGTGCTGGGACCCACAGCCGAAGTGGGAGCAGTGGGAGTAGCCATGGTGATACTGATAATGTTGATTGATGATGATGTCCGACCGTGTGGAAGCTCTTGCTTGGCGTAGAAATAAGAGGGTCTGGACCTTATGGATCAGGCAGCACGGCAACGCTAACGGGCTCGGGCGTGATCAAGTAGTAGAAGTAGTCTTGAAGTCCAAGTGGCAGAGTACGAGACAGAATTAGAGCACTAAAACAGCCCAGCTGAGATGATGTTATTTGAGAGAGAAAGAGAGGATGAAAGGAGGATAGATAATATGGATAGATGTAGAGCGTGGGATGAATGGATGGATGGATGACTGTGGGTGAGATAATGGTTGATGGAAGAAGTCAGTGAGGAGTAGGAGTAAGGGAAAGGAGAGTGAGAAGTAACTAAAAGAGTAGACAGAGATAGAAAAGATTCAAAGGATTTGAATGGGGGAGAGGGTGAGGTGGTGTTGAGGAAGATTAAGTTGGAAAGACGTGAGAGAGATGATGGGGGGAGATGGGGGAGATGGGGAGATGACGGAAGAGAAGGGGAGAAAGAGAAGAGGAGGAAGAGGAGAGAAGGAGGAGAAGGCGGAGTTAAAGAGGGAGGGAAAAAGCAGCTGGAGCTGGAGGTCAGCTGGTTGCTTGAAGGCAGAGAGCCCTGCCAGCCTGCGCGTCCGCGGTTGCTGGCTGGCTGCATCCGGCCGAGGCGGTGAGCCTTCTCTTTTACTCGATGTATCCATAGTACTATGTACAGTACTAGGTAGTTACTAACTTACTATACTAACTATAAGTTAGTACCCAGGGCTATGTCAGAACCTACCTACCTAGCAACTTAACTACTCATAGTTGACTACTGTAAACTAAAACCCCAAAACTACGGTAATCCATGAATCCTTGTTTGATTTCCGTCATTCCTTCCTTTTCCTCCTCGTTTTCTTTGGTTCTTTTTCATGGGCCCACCGATCTGTTGACGTGATATACTCGAATACATTCAATTAGTGAGTACTGACTGTACTTTAGGATTGCTTCAGTGATTGTCAATTGACCTAGTTACTACTCCGTAGGTACAACGCCAACTGGTACATGAAGGTCTTGCTTCCCCACTTCTGTAATCATCATTGCCTATCTGTACGGCACGGATCTCCGGTTCTCTTCCACTTACCCCGACTCAGTGACTCCACAGAACCAGTGGAATGGCCATCGAAGTACCTGCTAAGTATTCTGTACTGTACTGTACCTCTGCTATCTATCCTTTCTTACCCCCCCCCCCCCCGGTGGATCCGATGCCTGCAGAATGATGAGGCATTGCTGAGTGACATCTCATCGGGTCTAATTTTGGAATCCCCCGGTTCTTCTTGTCCATCCCTCTAGTGCAGTATGATTTCATACTGACCGGGAGGAAGAGGGGACAGCACTGCTGTTGCTCAGGGTGCTGCCACTTAGTGGTAGATCCTTTCTTCCGAGCCCGTTTTGACAGCCAGTGCTGACGTCACGTTCAGATCGCTTGCCTGCTGGGGGATCACCTAGCAATTGTGCAATAATGCCTGCTATGCGATGCTATGGTCGGTCCTAAATTCACCATTAAACTGAGAAAAAAGTGATGCAGTAATGCATCCATCCCTATTGCTCCATATCTCTCACCCCCTCTTGCCGTTCCTTCTTGAATCTTCGCTCTGGATACTTCTTGCATCATGCGACTCACAAAAAGCTAGTATACGAAGGACACTCCTTGACAACGTCTTGGCTCTTGGCTGTCGGCGCCGAGAGCTTGCCACTTTTCCCCTCTCAACTGACAGGCACCCACCGAACAAGCTTGGCCGCCGATCAGACCAGCTGAGTCTTTCTCATCGCTACGAATAGGCATCAACACCAACGAGAGTAGTGAGTATCATTCAGTACATTCATTATAAAGACCATGGAAACTGGACATGCAACGAAGTCATGAAAAATAGGGGCCATGGTCATTCATTCACCGCGTGCGTACATGGGACAAAAATGGTATCCGTACACCGGGAGGACTGGTGGTGTCCCGCAGCAAGCAACCACTGGCGGACACATCATCCGGAAAAACAACCATGAAACAAAAAAGAAGAAAAAAATAATAAGAGATAGAAATAGACAAGAAGACACCGACAGGAGAAACGGCATGAGCTATAGAGTGATGGGGAAATTCAAGGGCGAATGACGAGGCGGGGAGATCACAAGAGTCGCTAGTAATGCAGAAAAGCCTAATCTAACCACAACTGAAAGACAGCCCGAACAGCATGAACATGCTCGGCGAGCCTATACCACGGAAAGATAAAACTGGAAGAGTGAGCATAGGTCACATCAAGAAGAGCCGTGGCAGAAAAGAGACATCATCATGTTTTCGAAGACATGTCAAAAATCGGTGCGTTTCCGTGAGAATGAAAATATGAGGGAATATAGAAAAAGAATAGAGAAGTAAAATAGTCATCATGGAGGGGAGGTCAGAGATTTTAGAGTCGGTAGCATGGAAGGGATTTTAAGAAGATAGACGAAGAGAAGAGAAGAGAAGAGAAAAGAGACGGAAATCGAGAAGTGAAGCCTCCAGTGGGTCAATCACTGCGAGGCATAGTAGACACCGCCCTGGGACTGGGCGTAATAGTAAGTTGCGCCTGGCGGTGTTAACATCCCACCCATGCCAACCACTCCACCAGGCGCGGGAGCATTGTGTATTCCGTATGACGAGTTGGGATACATCTGGTTGGGATCATAGAAGTAGACCGTCCCGCCAGCTTCATGGGCAACCATTCCTGGCTGCGACGCTTGTTCACCCGACGAAGGCGCCGCCGGCATCGTGTAGGGGGGCCCATGTTGTCCCTGCGGGAAGGCCGGCGCGGAGGCTCCTGGAGCACTTGCCGCGTTGAAAGTGGAATAGTCTGTACCCGAACTCGGGTAATAGACGGCAGCCGCCGGGTATGATGCAGGATAGAACACCTGAGGTTGCTGAAATCCGTATGGCTGGAACGGCTGCGCATGGATCGCGCGGTCGGGAATGTGGGACACAGGCGTTGCAGACGTGTGAGCAGCAGGTGCGTGGGCAGAGGCCTCGGGACCATAGACGGGTCCGTTGGCAGGCATCGGCACCTGGTGATGGAAAGGCTGCTCCTGTTGGGGCTGGGGCGTGTGGAAGGGAAAGGCTGCCGGCATCTCGATGTCGGCAACTGAAACGGCCTTCTGAGGACGAGGCTGATGCATCGGAATGGGAGCCGGGCGGCTCTCACGGTACGCGGGGGGCTGCGGTAAAGAAGACATAGGGGGCGGAATTGCCGACGAGGCAACTACTGGACCAGCAGGAACCTGCGGGATTCCCAAAGGCGGTCGGGGAGGAGGTAGGCGGACGACTGGCTTTCCATTTTCAGTGGTAATGATGGTAGGCCGTGAGAAAACCGAGCCGGCCGGCGAGTGCCATCCCTCCTGTGAGGGCGGCTTGCCCAAGGATGATCGTCGGCTGATACTGACACTAGGGGCGTACGTCGAAGTTGCATAGATGCTGGGGCGTCGCCCTGTCATAAAACCGCCACGACGTCCGCGGAAAGCCTGCTGATTCGGGCGCAGAGCCCGGGGGATGAAGATGAAGGACCGCTCTATGGCGGGAAAAATATATCGAGGAGGTTGGCCCGGAAGCGAGATCCGGACAGGTTTATCGCGACGTAGCGGAGGGCGATGCTGAGGGAGCCGAGTGTGTTGCTTTTTTGTGACTGCTGGATAGGATATAGGCTGTTCCATACCTGGTAAGAGGACCACCACCGGCACGTTCCCGATCAACGTAGTGCTCGAAAAAGACCGATTAGGCGGGGTTGACCTGGGAGCCGTGGGAACAGGTCGCTGGGGGTAGTTCGAGAACCCTGTTGACACGGTTGGGGCCTTGGCTGTCGCTGGACGGTCTCCAGCGACGGTATCGTGGAGATCATGCGTCCACTGCCCTTCGCTTGCATCCGACTTGACGTTGTGTCTACAGCAGGTTAGCTGGTGTTATGGGCTGACACGTAGAAGCGACCGGCTCTACGAGATCGGAGTCTGGATCTTGACGCACCTGCGCACATTACCGTCCACAATAAGTCCATATGGCCTGGACTTCGATTTCGGGGAAGCCTTGTGGCCATTCGTCACAGTGTCGATAGAACGCTTATCGTGAAGGAAGAAGCTCCCTCGGGTGGGCACCAAAGCAGGGCTCTCATCCTTCTCCTTGGTTATGGTCCTCTCCTGCTCCCGGCGTTTCTTCTCTGTAATGGTCTCCCTTCTCGGTTCCGATGGTGGTGCCGATGGGGTTCTTCCCGTTAGAGGGCCAATCTCCCCTTTCAAGTCATCAAAATGGATCTCCGCCTCCCGGGTGGTGTCTTCCGATAGTTTCATGCCATTCATCATAGCCTCTGTATCTGACATCGTGCTAGCGAGAAGCCGTTTGCTCGGAGATGTCGAATGACGGCGCCCCGGTTTCTGGTTTACTTCTGGCCTTCGGCCATTGAGTCGTGAAGCATGAGTGTGCGAAGATGTTTGCAGCTCGTCGTCGCTTTCATCACTACCTTCTCCATCGGCGTCTTCATCATCTTGGTGGCTGATAACAGAGCCTTCGCTGAGAGAGTCATCCTCCAGCTCACCGTCGAGTGAGCCCTCATCTTCGCCTTCCTCGTCTCTTCTCCTTCGGCGGCTAGCACCGATGTTGTGACGTCGTGGCGCCATCTAGACGAAGTCAAATGAATCGAAAGAGGGTAGCTGTAATGATCGAGGATGATTGCGGTGCAGGCAAACGAGACGAATTATAAGAGATGATCGAAGTGCACTGACGGCTTGCAGTAGCAGGTGTTTGCTAGTGGTGGTAGTGATGAGGATGGTGGTTGGTCGGCTGGTCGGTTGGTTGTGGCTAATGGTGGTCGGCGGCGGGTGGGAGGACAGAAGTCAAGGCAAACAGAACGGGGACCAGGAAGAAGAAAGTAGTGACACGCATGTGAGAAGAAGGGGAGGGGGGGAGGGGGAAGAACGGGGAGAAGAAAGTAAGAAGTGGGTGGGGGGGAGGAGGAGGAGGAAGGAAGAAGAAGAAGAAGAAGAAGAAGAAGAAGAAGAAGAAGAAGAAGAAGAAGAAGAAGATGCTGATGAAGAACAAGAAGAAGAAAAGAAAAACGAAGTAATCGAGGAGAAGAAAAAGATAGAATACTGCACCTCTAAAAAGAGGGCGAAGGAGAGATTGAGGGAAAAGGAAAAGCAACAACAGCACCTCTTAAGTTAGTTGGAGTGGTTAGTTCAATTCAATTCAGTTGGGGGTGGGAGGAGTTGGTGGTTTTGAGCATTGCGAGAGACGGAGCCCTGACGAGAGAGCCATGACATCTCTTTCGATGTCAACCAGCTCAATCCGGTTTAGTGCCCTCCACGACCACCTCAGCGATTCTAGAACGAGTACGGAGTACTTGAGATTAGGTAGTTGAAGGTAATCAAATTCAACTTATTGGAAGTACCTGGTAGAGTAGTACTAGGTAGTCTCCGTACACTGTACACTGTAGGTAATCAATCCGAGCTCAGTAAAAGAACTGACCAAAACCAGGAACGAACCACAGCGACTTGATCGACGCGCGGTCGCAACTCCCGAGTTCCCCATAGTCCATCCAGACTTCCAACCAGTGGAACTGTTTGGTCTGTTTCAAGCCCACTCCCACTTGAATATCCAGGAATGTCCATACCCTCCAGCTCGAGCACATATAGAGGACCCCTTTCTATGAGGGTCATGGCAGAAGCTTCGGAAACATACGTACGTAAATTGAATTTGGAGTGTCCATACGCATCTCAATTCCAACATCCCACATCCACATGCACACACTGTACCTTGTATACACCCTTAAATTGAGAAAAGAATAATAATAATGATAATAATCATCATCATCATCATCATCATCATCATCGTTGGTCAGTGGATGTGAATAGTTAACTAATACTGCTGACTAACGCCTTGGCAGGTGTAACTAACTACTATGTGTATGTAACTAACAGCTGAGGTACCCAAGCTTCTCCTGCGTTAATCTCACTCGTTTACGTCCCAATTAGTCAATATTCAATTGACTAGTTTGATAATTAGATGCGAGAGATTGATGGTCTTCGACCGACCAAATCTGATGGATTTGTGATATAAATGACAACGATTGCAATGATCAGCTGGTTCTTTGATACGAAGCTAATCAATCATTTTCATTCCGAAATCATCGTAAGGGTATAAGTCCCTTCTTCCTGCAATCTGCCTTGGATCCACACCCTCCTTCCCCTTCCCTTCTGCTACAAGTCTATATACATACACGGTACTTATGCGTACCAGCGGAACCGGTGGAGTATCAGTCCAATGAATGGAGTCGAGGAAATACCTCCTTCCCCGTGCAATTCAGACCAAGCGACAAGCGACTCTCGACCATGCAAGGCTTGACCAGCTCACAATCTCGCGCGTTATCGATGAGTGACAATCAACGGCCAGAGTACACAGTTGAGGGTCTCCCTCCAGTATCGTTCTTCATTTTAAGGCCAACGTCCGACCCTCAAAGCCTGTCTGTCGTCCACGTGCTTGCTCTCATCGCCTTACTGATCACCTTTAATCGAAGGTGGTCTTCTTGCCCTGGGATTCAACAATGGCACCACTAAGCTTCTGCACTGTGTCCTGGTCGTATCTTGTATATTCGGGCTTCGCTTGCTTGGCTCTAGGAGGTCGTGCTTGGCGAGGCTGCTCTTCGGTGGATTCGAATTCTCCGGCCTCGGCATCGCCGGTCTCTGAGTTGTTATTTCTCTTGCCCTCGCCGTCCTTTCCGAACCGTTTCTTGTAGCGAGTAGTGGCGTCTTCGGCGAACTCCATACGCAGCCGCCGTCCCAGAAGGAAGTTCACCCAAATCTTCCTCTGCCGGGGCTTCCTGGGCTTTTTGCGCTCTTCTGGTTCGGAGTCGTCTTCCTCCTCCTCATCCTCTTTCACTAGCACATAGCCTTTCACCGCTGCTTCAGCTGCGGCAAGATCCTCAAACACCACCCAAGCGTAACCCTTGCATTTGCCGGAGTCCTGGAAGGTCGCCACATGTACGTTAGCCACAGTACCGCATTGAGCGAAATGTTCCTCAATGGATTCTTTGGTGGCGTCAAAGCCGAGGTTGCCGACAAATATGCGTTTGGAGGGGGCATGGCCGGATGCTGCAGAGCCCGTTTGACCGTCTTCCTTGGGTTTATCTGGCCTTCCAGCAAAGCTCTTTGCATCCTTGATAAGCACGCGACGACCCGTTAGGAGCTGCTCACTGAGGCCAATTGCCTCTTCGGCCGCCTTCTGAGTGGAGAAGTCGACATAAGCGAAGCCCTTGTTCTGAGATTTTCCGAACTTTTCCGCGCCCTTGGGCATATGTATGCGTGTAATGGTCGTGTCCGCGAAGGAGCAGTTGCTCGTCAAGAAGGTGCGCAGATCATCCTTCGTGACAGAAAAGGCAAGATTTCCAATCCAGACACCGTGATCTGAACGCTTTTGGGGGGCAGTAGTAGGTTTTTCGACAGCGGCCACCGCTTCAGTCTCTGTGGTAGACTCGGAGGGCTTTGCAGTGGCTGCTTTCTTCGCTTTGCGCAAAGCTTTCTTCGATGGCGGCTCAGGGGCAGAGACGTCGATCTCGATCTCTTCAACGTCTGTGAGCTTGCGCTTCTTTTGGGTTCCTTCCCCAATGCTAGCCATGACTATGATTGCACAAATTCGGGACCTGACAGAACTATGCCGTATAAGTGAATTTGAAGGTCGCAATCAAGAATTATGAAGAGTTATCACAACAAAGAATGAGAAGCATGCGTGAATAGCTCTTGTCGCAGTCGGAGATAATTTTTTTTTTCTCCATTCCCTATCGCTTTTCTTTGCGGCGGGCAGAAACACTCCGCCTTATCAACTCTGGGTCTGGGCTTGGCGGAATCCTCTTCCAGCCCGATTCGCCGGTCCTGCAAAGGGAGTGACCCCAGTGTCAAACACTCACATAAGTTGAATCTCACTCCTCCCTTAATCAGTTTCCCTAGCCTCCTAATTTTAGAACGCCTCAACCCTTCCAACAACAGGAAAAGGGAAAAGAATTGAATCCACTCTTCATTCTCCATTGTGCTGCGTGTTCGTCATGTCTCAAACACTTGACGAGACAAGATCGGTGGCTGAAAGTCTGCCGGATGCCTCCGTCGGCGCCCCTACTCGGCAGTCCTACAAGTCTTTCAAGTGAGCATAGTTCTATAGCAGCATGGTCCTTAGGCCACTAGCTAATCATGATCGCCAATCAGAAAGAAGTTTGCGAAGCTCAAAATGAAGTTCGAAATGCAGATGGGGGAAAGCGAGGCGCTCATTCGCGAAGGATTGCGCATCGAGGATCTTTCTAAGAGAATCCAGGAACAGAATGAGTATGCATTCATCGCCCTCGCCTGATTGATTTCCATCGATACTGACAGTGCTACAGTCAACTTCTAGAGGTTCTGCTTGAATTCAACGACAGCCTCCACGTGTCTCCCAGTCTACGATACGACTTGAGTGCGCCAGGAGATGAGACCTTCCTGCCACCTCCCGATCGAGATATTCCAGCCTCCTACAATGATCCCGCCATCGCGGGATCCATGCTAAAGGATGCCAAAGGTCGTATGGCTGCTGGTCGGATGAATGCTCATGCCTATCGTGAACTGGAGGACGACGTTCGGCGAAGCAAAGCGTTTGCACCGCGCCTACAGTACACGTCCCTAACTCAGGTGCCCCATTCTGCACCTTTGTCCGACAATCAAGCTGAGGATCATTATCCCGCCCACGAGCTTGGATTCCTGACTCCTGAGCATGAGACCGAGTACTACCTGGCGTTGGATGCCAAACTGGGCGATGAGAGTGCCATCGAGCAGCTGGTGTCTATGCCGAGTAAATCAACCCTCGTCGAACGTACGCGGGATGCCAATTTACGTATACCGATATCCGTGCATAACTGGCTTCGCCGAAATCAGCCACAAATTTTCCTTCAAGACAACGAGAACGCTTCCGAGAAGTCTGGCTCTCGGCCCTCGCGTGCGTCTAAGAGAGCCACGGCCCAGGCTCGAAAGGACGACGATATGTATGATGACGATGGCTCTTATATGGAGACTGCATCGACCACTGGGGGTGCCAAGGGAAAACGTAAGCGGGATGAAGACAGTGGATATCGGCCTAAGGGTGGCAGCAGTCGTCCAAGCCGGAAGAAGAAGGACAAGGACGATGATGGTTCTACTCCTGCGAAGCGGACATCGAAGCGGTCCTCGGGCATAAATGCTTGAGCCCACAGTATCTCATCTAGCGTCATTTTTTGGGGGGGGGGGAGGAATGGCCGGCAGTATCGGACTGGGACTCAGGACTTGGGTGAGACTCCTACGTATAGTAGTTATAGAGGATCTTATGTTGGTCGGTTTTGTACTCTAATCAAGCCTGCACTTCGATAAAACGTTATGCAAAACTGACATCTTCCTCTGGCGACTGAGCTTCTCTCTCACGTAGTCAATCAATGTTTGTAGTCCTTTTGTGTTTACAAAAAAGCAAAGAGCCATTATAGAAATATTTCATTAATGGAAAGGGTTGTGGTAGGCTATACTTGGAGTGAATGCTAAAGTAGCAAGATTCACGTGAATCTCCACCAGAAGTTTGTCTGGTTTGTTCCCGGTCCGGAAAGTCTTCGCAGAATGACCGACGAGAAAGCAACGAATGTAACCACCTCCCAGCATTTCCCGTCCGACCCAATTGGAGAAAATTTACCTTACCATCTACATCATTGATTATTTGCTACTCGATAACCTTTAAAGCATGGCTATTACAATTCTGCCCCCGGTGGTGGAAGATGTTGACCTGACCAGTTTCGACTCCGACTCAGATGCCATGTCCGTCGATTCGGATGGCGGCGTAGAATTGGCGGCAGGCAGTTCATCCAGACCCAACAAGCGTCAACGGTTGGTTGAAGGCACCAATATTGTCGCCGGAGTCTTGACACCGGGTGAGGTTGTCACTGATGATCCGCAATGGATGAGGTTCGTAACCCTGCAACAACCGTCATCTCTTCTTTTTTGACCACCATGGCTAATGCATTTTGTTCCACCCCTCGGCGCAGAGGTCATGGTACCTATACAAACCCGCTATCAATTTCAATCATCGCCACTGTTGCCGGTACCGTGCAGAAGACCAACAAGCTGCTTTCCGTCCAGCCCCTCCGTGCACGATACACTCCAGAGATCGGTGACCTGGTGGTAGGGCGCATTGTCGAAGTACAGTCCCGCCGGTGGAAAGTCGATGTCGCCGCTCCATTACTCGCTCAACTGCCTCTCTCGGCAATCAACCTACCGGGAGGTATCCTCCGCCGCCGCACAAGCGCCGACGAACTGCAGATTCGAACGTTCTTCAGCGAAGGAGACTTGGTCGTGGCTGAGGTCCAAAGTGTACATTCGGATGGAGGCGCTTCGCTTCACACGCGGTCTCTGAAGTACGGGAAACTGAGGAATGGCGTGTTCCTCGCTGTGACGGGCACGGGCGGCAGTGGCGCATCTAGCTCGACTGTCAAGGGTGGTGTAGGAAGCGCGGCAGCTGCGACGGGCGCAGTCGGCGGTGTGGTTCGGTCACGGAGGCAGGTTTGGACCGTCAGCACAGCCAATGGGGGCGGAGATGTCGATGTAATTCTGGGGGTGAACGGCTATATCTGGATCTCGAAGCACGCAGACGGTGCAACGGCGGCCTCGTCGACGACAGAAAACGTTTCGATCACGCGCATGGAAGAAATGGTGTCGAGCTCGATCTACTCCAGTCAGAACGACGAGATCCCGCCACAGACGAGACGCGAGATCGCCCGGTTGGCGCAGTGCATCCGAGTGTTGGTAAACGGAGGTATCCGGGTGGATGAGGAGACAGTAATGAGCGCATATGAGGCCAGTCTTCAAGTGGATCTGGAACTGGGCGATGACGAGGACGAAGATGACCGGCGCCGAGAGGGAAGAGAGTACCTGGAGGGCAGCAAAGCGCAGCGTGTCCTTGAGTTGGTCTTGCAACGGAAATAAGGGTGTTTGAGGGTAATTTCTTTTTTGTATACATAGATGACTACGATTACTCTTGATAAGATGTTAAGATACCCCCTCACTCCCTTCTTCTACTGGATCTCCTTCTTTTCTTCCGTCTTGCAAGATAAGACACAGTCAGCAATAACTTTGAACCTCAGTATGATTAACTATGAATAGTTGTATGGGTATGTATTGTTCCAGGAAAAATGATTGCCTCCCAGCGATAAGGCCTAACCCCGCATCACGTGGTGATAGAACGGGCATTGATTGGCAGTCTTCTTGAGAGAGAGAGAGAGAGAGAGAGAGAGAGAGAGGACAATCGGAAGGGTGAGAATAGCTCCGTAGATTCACGAAAACCACATGCCACATGCTTCATGCAAAAGGGCAAATAACAAACAAATGAATGGTCAGTAAAGAACTTTGGAGGACTGTCTGTAATGTAATATACGGTACGGTACGGTACACAATAGGGCCGAGGGCGGGAACCACTCACTCACCAGTTGACTTGACTGACTTTCTCCGTCCTCTATTCGGATTTCTTTTCTTCTTCTCTTTCTTCTTCTCCTCTAATCCACTTCTTTCTCTCTCTCTCTTTTCTTCCTTCAATCGAAGAAGAATCTCTCCTTCTCAAACTTACCATGTCATTTGTCTCCGAAGAAATCTTTTTACAATCGACATCTTCTATACCTCTAGCATAGCTTCTTTCCCTCACCCTCTCCATTCTCACCAGACAACCCTTACTTACTTCTCGACCCATTCTCCAAACCTAAGGCTATATAACCCGCCTGTCAGGGTCCAAACAAGCACAGGGGAGAAAAAAAAAAGACCAACCTTTTCCCCCTTGATTTGCCACAGCGGCCATTCTCTTCACATCTCTGCTCTGCCTACTACAAAATCACCATGCCAGACTTACGTCGTCAGGTGTTGGAGAGCGGCAAGACGATCTCTCGCAAGGCCGCCTCTCGTGAAGGCTCGCGCCGCACATCGCGCACCGCCTCCGCCCAAAACTCTCGTCCTTCGTCGCGGCCGACCAGTCGCTATGGCTCGGATGAAGAAGATGCAGGAAACCTAAGCGATGAGACCACTGCTTTGAGGTGAGCTCTTTTTCCTCTTTTTCCCTTTCTGCCGGTTATTCTTTATCCTTCCTTCCCTAATCTGTGTGCTCTATGCGCCGCCCGCTTCCCCGGGATGACATCATCGTCAACTTTCGAAATTTCTTGGCCTGACTAATGCTGATTCGGACGTTATAGCATTGGCTCGTTGGATGACCTCACTGAAGATCCCGATCAGGACACCAACAACTGGACGCAGGAACTCGACGATGTCGTTGCTGACATCCTCGACCGCAAGCGTAGCAGTATCCTAAGTCGTGAGGAGGCCTACGCCGCGTTCTGTCGCCTGGCCAAGTCCCATTACGTCGAGGATCACATTCGTAGCCAGGTCTCTGATCTGCTGGCGGCCTTCTGCCGCAGTGTCAAGTTCGAGTCCAGCGTGCGCGAGACAACACTAGCTCTGCGCGCCCTCGAGCTCTTGGCCATCACGGCCTTTGACAACACTATCTATGAGAATGTCGAGTCACTCCTATCCCGCAGCATTCGGGACTCCACCTCGACCTCGATCAAAGCCGCTGCCATCCACTGTCTTGGTGTCTGCACTATGTTCGGTGGTGCTGGTGAAGACGGCATCCTCGACCAGATGACCTTCTTCCTCGACATCGTGGCCTCCGATGGCCAGTCTATTGACGCCCCGGATGATGCCAACAGTGTTACGGCCGCGTTGCAGGAATGGGGAATGCTCGCGACAGAGATTGACGATCTCGAAGGTGAGAGTGAGGATGCTGTGCAAATCTTCATGGATCAGCTGGACAGCGGCGACTCGGGCGTGCAAGTCGCCGCTGGGGAGAATATTGCGCTCCTCTATGAAAAGAGCTATACCGAGCAGGAAGACGACGAAGACGAGGAAGACGAGGAAGGCCATTCCAATGACGCCGACTCCGACGAAGAGTCCTTCTTATCGCCCGGCGAGCGGTCCGGCCCCAAGCTCATCAAGCGCTACAATGCCTACCACAACACCCACGAGCTCGAACAGCAATTGCAGTCGTTGGCCACAATCCACAACAAACGCATCAGCAAACGCGACAAGAAGAGCCTGCACAGCAATTTCACCTCCATCTTAACCACCGTTACCAACCCACGGCGAGGGCCCATGTATAACACCGCCATTGATCAAGACACGAACCGGCGTTACGGCAGCAAGTTGACCGTCAAGGTCGGCAGCCAGGGTGTTATGAACATTGACCGGTGGTGGAAGTGGATCCGTCTGAACTCGCTCCGTCGCATCTTGCAGGGTGGGTTTGCCGCCCATTACTTCCAGGGAAACCGTGCCGTCCTCGATAATCTCCCCGTGATGGTGCGCATGAACTTCGCCTCTTCCTCAGATCGTAGCGCTGCGAAACGCGCCGCCAAATCCCGGAATAACCGCCGATGGGCTGTCCATGATCACTCCGATGAAGAATATTAGTCAAAATTAGATCTTCGCGATGTGCGCTTTTTCCTTTACTCTATTACATGCTTTTCTTTTTTCTTCTTTTCTCTTCTTTTCTTTTCTTTTTTTTTCTTGCAAGATTCAGATTCCTTTTATCTGCCCTGCATCTCGATTGATCATATTTGCCATTTACACAACCTCATATAGTTACGGTAGATATCGGCGGGTTCTTGTGCCTGACTTCTTTGCATTCTTCAGATTCCTGTCCCAGCTTCTTGTGTTACTCGTTCCATGCCTAGTGTGGAAATGCAGAGCGAATTGTCCTTCTAGTTTATGGATTTTCCTTGCATAGTCTGCTTTGACTTGCAAAAATACATATGGCTAGCTAGCATATTTACCGGGAATCAATAAAAACGAGCACCCTAGCTAGCTCAACCTGTGAAAAGGCACACATACAGCGTAAGCGCGGTGGGGAAACAACGGTCTATTTCATAGAATCAGAACCCGAGATATTAGATCGTGTATGTATGTATGGAGGCCAGAAGGTTCGGGGTTTCGGGGGCATTAGGCCTCAAAGACCGGCACCACGCCAGTCCAGGCTTTCTTGGCCCTTTCTTCCCAGTAGCCCTCCTTTCCGGGCTTCAATCGCCATGTAACCTCACCGCCCTCGGGCGCATTGTCCACCTGTGCAAACCAGCGCGGCGTCCACTGCTCGCCAGCCGACTCCATCGCACGGCGACGGGCGCGTTGCCCTTCCTCAAGTTGAACCTTCAACTCCTCGGCACGGTCGACATCCCCATCCTCGAGGGCGCGCTGATCCGGTCGCAGCCGTGAATCCGTCGCCGGAAGCTGTTCCGCCTCAATCGGGGTTATCTCATTCAAGCTCGCCGCGAACGCCGTCAAGCCATAGTGCTTAGGGGCATTGGGGACGAGCGGGCCCGCATTCCAGGCTGCTGTGCCAGTTGGCGAACCGTTTTTAGTGAGCTGAAGGGAGGTCGTCCATGTGCCTGTCAATCCGAGGCCAAGGTCACGGCCGCCAGCATCAACGGTCTTGGTACTAACTTCTTCACTGCGCCCGGAAAACATACCGCCGGCTTTGAAGGTTGATACTGTCTTGTGGCCGGTCGTCTCATTGACGACGGTAGTCTCGCCGACCGGTTCGACGTACTTCTCACCAGCAATAATGTTGCGCAGGAACGAGGTTGCCGAAGCCCAGCTGTAGTGTTCTCCAGTGGTATGAAGCGTGAGGCGAATGCGACCCTCTGTCACGATCTCGGCAGATTTCCCCCAGAATTTCTGGGTGGGCATGGGGGACTGCGTCAGACTCCATTCCGGGCCGTCGGCCTGGTACGCGAGCTGGACGGGTCGGTGGGAGACTTTCTCGGCGATGAATCGAAATCCCAAATCCTCACGTACCAATTCGTAGGTCTCGCCGAGCATAGGGTTGAAGGGCTTACGGATGGCGCGCTCCCGGACACGATTGCTTGATAACGGCGACAATGCAAACGCAGTCACGTATACGAGCCGCTCCACTGGATCAGAGACATTGGCAGCTTTGTCAAGTAGCGTTGAGTACTCAAGGACCTCGGCCGCACGCTGCAGCAGAGAAAGAGGCTCATTGGAGGAAACAGGCATAGAAATCTGGGACAGATCCTTGCCAACATTCTTGCGCAGGAACCCGATGAGACTCGGCGGCATTACTGTTGGGGCAGTGATATTCTCGCGCCGTGGCACCGGTTTCAGAGGCAATGGCGTTAGCGATTTGGGCCGCACCGGGAACAGCGGCGATGACTGGTCATGGCTATCGCTTGTCTCTTCTGGAATCGTTTCATCATCATCACTGTCCGAGGGTGCATCGTCTGCGACGACGTCTTCCTTGGCCAGTGTTGAGGAGATGGCGTTGCCATTGGTCTTCCCGCCGCGAGGATCTTCATCCTCGCTGTTGGTATCACCCTGAATGGTGAGTAGGGCCGAGGTATGGCCGTCATCCACAGCATCGAAGAACTCTTGCGACATATCGGATTCAAAGCTATGCCGTGACTGCAGCGACCGGCCAGGCTGACGACGGCGATGCTTGGTCTCGGCGATGAGACTGGAGAATTCGCTGACGACGTGGTCTAGGTCCCGTAGGACGGCCATCAGATGCTCGTGGATCTCGTTCATGTGGTCGGGGTGACTGGCGATGCTGCCGGGCTTGCGATCGCCATGAACCGAGGACGAATCAAAGGCGCCCGGAATGGCCAGCTGGGAGGACATGGAATTCATGGTGGTACTGCGCTTAACGGTGGGCTGGACGGTGGCACTGCTCTTGCGCCTCCAGAACGGCCTTCGGCCATCATTGGGCTCTTCTCCACTCATATCGGTTGGGGTACGGTGAGGGCTCGGAGAGCGGCCGGGGGGCCGGTCCGGGCCTAGATACTTTGGATCGGTGTCCTTAGCCAGGCGCCGGACAGCATCACGCGTGCCGGACACCTTGCTAACCAAACTCTCAACTTGCTCCCAATCTCTTTCATCGGCAGCGTTGGCGTGTACGCGCTGGGAAGGGACCCGCAACAGCGGCTCCGATGGGTGGTTGGGGTCTTCGGCCGAGCTTTTGGAAGAGGACGCCCGTTCCAAAGCACGCTTCCAGGCAGCGAACTCTTGATCATTACTAGCGCGAAGATGCCAGACTTCCGTACCCGAATCAATCGAGATCTCGCGCGACTGCTGGTTGCAGGCAACTGCGGCCAGGTTGAGAGGTATAGAGCCGCGCAGGGCGGACGAGTTCCGGTCGTGATAGTAGGATAGGGTAGAGGAGGTGAAGTCGAGCGAGAAAAAACGGCGCGCCCATCCCTGGTGGCGCTTCCGCCTTCGCTTCTGCAACAAACCCGTATAGGTTTGAGCCGAGTCGATCTCAGTGGGTTGAGACGGCGGCGGAGGGGGCAGCATGCTGTTGCCCCGACGGCGCGCTGGCAGGGGCTTTCCGGCCTCGGCTATCGCTGCAGAATCAGCGGTGCCCTGCTGTGGTTGACTCGCTGCGTGCGGCACTGGGACTGACTGTGGCGGTAGAGCTGTTGGGTAGGTGAGCAGGACGAGGGTCACGGTCTTGGAGATCTGCTTGGAGAATGTATTATCGAAGACAAGCCCGTAGTTACCTCCCTCGTTGGCAGGGACATCATAGGTGCCGCGGACTATACGTTCGGCCTCACATCTTCCAAGCCACTGGACTTGCTTCAGCCCAATGCCGGTTAAGCGCTCAATTATGGAGCCATTGGCGCGTCCGCCGGTGTTGGCGGTGATCGGGTCGGGTGATTCGGATCTGGGAGTGTCGGCGGTCGCGGGGAGGTTTGTGTTCGACCCAAGGAGGGCGGAATTGCCAGGATGTTTGAAGATACCGAAGTTGATCGATTTTTTATGTGGTTGGATGCTCCATGAGATAGTGTGACAGGCTTTGACAGCAACCCAGCGGACAAAGTAGGACTGGCACGCAGTAGAGTTGGGGGTCAGCCTCAGCACGATCTGATCGGCGCGGAGATACCGATGCAAGGCGAAGATCGACTCGGGATCAAAGGGAATAGGGGGACACGAGCGCGTCAGTCATCCATCCCTTACCTTGCTGTGGATCTCCAACTCCTCCATGGCAGCCATGACGGATGCGGGGAAGCAACGATGAGGGGGGGTCCGGGGCCGCAGGCAGGTCAATTGAGGCTGGTGAACAAGCAAGAAGATTTGACCGTTTCAAGAATAATTTAGGGGTGAAGATGTTGATGACGGAGAGTGCTGACTTGGAGGGACTTGGTGGGGGGGAAGGGCTTAAGAACAAGGCTGACAAAGAGAATCGAGGGCGAGGCTCAGCTGCACGAGGGGTGGTCAGCAGGAGGAGAGATTCCCTTGTTACAGGGTCACTCACTCGGACCAGAGGGTTCAGGTCGAATTGAGAAGCATTGAGTGATGAAGGTATAGTAAAGTTGATTTCAAGAGGGAGGGGAATGTTCTAATTGACGAGGAGGTGGTGAAGGTGAAGGTGAAGGTGGAGATGAGAAGGTGGAGGTGGAGGAAGAGACGAGAAGAACAAGGAAGGAAGGAAGAAAGGGTTCAACTCAACTTAGGGGGAAAAGCTCCCCGAAACAGCAGAGATTCAGAGAGACGCGGCAGGTCAGCCGAGAACAACCTTGGACTGACTCTGCTTTATACTGCCTCTACTGCCTCCACTGCCTCCACTGCCTCTACTCTGTATCTACACTTCTTCTCATCTCCTCATTTTTGAGTCCCCTCCCCCTCCGGTCGGTCGGTCGGTCGGTCACAGCAAACAGAAACAACCCCGAATCTTGGTAGAGAGAAAATTAATGAGAAAATCATCAATACAATGCCAGTCAATTAAGAGCTATTCCGAGATACATCCCGGTACTGTATAGATTCCCATAATAGCACAAGAAGTGAGTAAACCCAATGATGCATTCCCGCAACCTGATGCAAGGACAACCATAGAAGATTCATACGACAAAATGGGATCAATGCCAATGAAAACCGGAATGAATTACACGAGAATGGGAGAATCAGAATAGAAACGTGTGAAGACGAAGAGGGAGATGAAGAAGAAGAAGAAGAAGAAGAAGAAGAAGAAGAAGAAGCGACAATCCATCCTCCCTAATTTCCTTCCTTCCAAGCAGTTACCAACCCAAATATTACACAAGTATACACAAGAGAAGTTCCTCTCCTTAACGACGCCTGCCCGCCTGCATGTTGGTAAACAGCAGCTTGAAGCCATTGCACAATGCCCGCATGTCGGGATAAGGGTTGCGCTGCAACTCATATCCCTGAGGGATCACCTTGACTGGCCAGCTGTGCGTCGAAGCATTCTCCCCCGCCTTGAAGCACAGGAAGAAGTAGCCTGCATGCTTGGGGTCTAGACAGAACGCGTAGGCCGACCGGCGCGGATTGGCCTTCGTGTAAGTCTCCAGCCAGGAGTCTGCGGAGGGGCGCGTTAGCAAGACGAAAGAGAACAGGCACAAAAGACAGTAAAACTTACAAGTGGCATCCCGGGTGCCGTCCTGATATTTTTCATGCAGCATCATCTCGTCCACCTTCTTGGCCATTGCCTTGACATGGTTGAAGATCAAGTCGTCCAGATCACTGTACGTGTAGCGACCGCCCACCTTCAACGTTCGGCCCACTGAGAACTCGTTCTCCTTATCCAGCTCGAGAACATCGATGTGCTGGAAAACACCATCCGCCACCTTCCATGTAACGGCCAGATGGTCTGGACCTTTGGACGAGGGCCGAATAACCACGTCACCTCGGCCCTGAGATCCCAAGAACTCCTCAGCCTGCGTCGAGTTGAACGGCCGGAACAACGGATGCTTGATGACACGCATCGTTCGGCCGCCACTCTGAGTCGTCTCCTGCATAGCCTCTCGGTCCTCATGCTCTTGTCGATCGTCCCATTCGCCCTGCAGCCGATCGCCCGGTGTCCGATGGGACGGCCGGCTGACCTGTTCCTCGCGCAGCGACACATTACACGAGAATGTCTTTCGGTTCAGGAACAAGATCTTCGCCGACACTGTTTGATGCGGCTGATACAGGGCTCGCACAGGAATGTCGTAGCGATCAGTCAGCTCCGATTCCGGCACCAGCGCATCGATACCGCAGTCCAGCTTGCCGTCAATGTGGTCATCGGTCACCCGCTTGATCGAGATAGGCACCACCATCCCCTCTGCAAGCGTCTCGGTTGTCTCGCCCGTCAGCATGGTAAAAATATCATCAGTGCTGAGGAAGACGTATTGTTTCCGCAATTCTTCGTACGGTTGCTGTAACTCGGCGCGAATCGTTTCGAGCGTCGCCCGCTTGCGCTGATTCAAGTTCTTTTCTAACTGCTCCGCATATTCCTCCAGGATCAGGTCGTTCACACGATCCTGCGCTTCCTCTCGGAAGAGCTTGCGCACGATCGCTCCGGGCCCGTTCTCGTCGGTTTCTGCCTTGATGTCTTCCTCGTCCAGCTCCAATGCATCGGCCGCCATCTTGCGTGCAATGTCATAATCTTCCGGATGCACACGAGTGTTATCAAGGGGATCGGCATCGGGATCGGCATTCTCAAAGTCGATGTACAGGAAACTGGCGCAGTTGTTCCAAACCTTGACGCCCATGGCTGGATACTGCGCATTCACGCCCAACAGTTCGACCCGGTTGTTCACCACGCCGCCGTTCATGTTTACGATTTTCAACAAATGGGCGGCCTTGCGCGGACCCAAGCCACAGACGTAGGGCAGCAAATTAGCTGCTGCCGGATCCGTCACCGCTTCGTTGAGGTCAACGCCCACCAGGTTGACCATATCGACCAGTGCCGTCTCCAACTGCTTCAACAGCAAGTCTTGCGAGATCAGCTGCTGGCCAGGCTTGAACTGGATTGACACAATGTCACGGCCGAGCGAGGCGTATTCCTTGAGCGGACTTTGCAGATACTTGGCCAGAGCGACGCAGTAATGGGTCAGGGGACCGAAGCTGGGGTGATCCTTCTTCGCGCGCTCACTGTGTTGATAGAGACGGGCCACTTCGTCGTTGACAATAACCACTTCCAAGGGGTCAGTGGCTGTCTCGTCCCGGTCATCAGTGTAAGGTGCGCCACAAAGATTGCGCTTGTCCACCAGCTCGGTCAACAGCTTGTACAGGCGGCGCGTTTCCGGTGTGTTGCCGGAGACACCAATGACATCCGGACGGCGACGACTGACCAGGCTGATAAAGGCTTCAACATCTTTGCCATCGGCTACACTGCGCTCACGGTCTCCAACCGAAAGATCCACGAACTTTCCGTTCTCCAGCACCCGACCGTCTTCTTCGACGTAGGCCCAGTGAATGGGCTCCCGTCCCACCACACCGGAGCCGGTAGATAGGGTCAGCACGCGGGGCACGGTGCCCAGAACCATTCCCTTGGGCTTGTAAGGAGCCTGGTCCAGCCGATATGAGAAGGTTTCACGGCACTCCTTGGCCACAGAGTTCTCGCACTCTTGACGGAGGTTCTCCTTCACACTGCGATTAATTAAACGCTCCAACTTGCCCAGCGCTAGATCTAAGACGTCGCGTCGAGTCCGGTTCCATACGTCCGCCAGCTCGCTGTAATTATCGGATTCAATGTCTGCGTATAGACGTTGCCGGAAGTGGTCAAAGTTCTCAAAGCGAACCTTGACATCGACCAGACCCTCTTCTTCGGCCTTGAGCATGCGCAGGTACATCTCCGGCCGGCGGGCAATGTCGCTCAGTTGTTGGTTTCGGAGATATTTGAATTCGTAGTAAGGATGCTGCTCATCAATGCGCCGCAGGCCCTTCTCTGTCCGGAAGCAGTCCACTACACCACTCATATAATACGCCTGCCTGACTACCTTGCGCATCTTTGGACTCATGACAATCTCCTCGGCGAACATGGTCTTGGCGGCCTTGACCACATGGGAGGAGTTCGAGAAGTCGTTATCCACAAAGGAATCTGCCAGCTCTTCCGGGCGTTCGGCGGGATCCTCGGTGTATTGCCGCCGGCCTTCCTTGAGGGCATTCTGGGCGAAGGCATCGGCCGTAATGCCGAATGCGCGGACGAGGCCGTACGCCTTACCGTTCCGGACGCGCTCAAAGAATGTCTTGCTGGTTGCTTTCCGGCGATGGGTCTCCCCGGTGTTGTCTCCATTGGCAAGGGTCAAATCGCGCAGATGGGACGCGTACTGAAAGTGGAGGTAGTCCTGAACATCCTGTAACTCTTCCATGCTAGTGGCGGTCGATAGCATCTCGAACACGATCTCATCGTTGATGTTGAACAGACTCTGTAAGTTATCATAGGTCTTTTGAATGGTTGTACGTTTCTCCACCAAAGCTTTGAACTTGAGGTCATTATCGAAGATCTCCCAGAGGTCGGTCATGTTCAGGAGCTTCTCAGCCTTAGTGGTGTATTGCGAGGAATCGGCGTCGAGGCCTGCCCCATCGACGGGAACTTTCACAGCGTGGATCATGTAGTCTTTGCGATGTTGGAAGATGAAGGGAACTTCCCAGTCATCCGTCACAAGGAATTCGAGCACCTTGGCGACCGACCGTTGAAAGGGCTCACGCAGCTCGGGCTCGATGCGCTTCTTAAGAAGCATCAGGTTCGAGATCCAGGCTGCCTCCTCGCGGAACTGATCCTCGGTCAAGACAACATTGCGATAAGGCTTGCGGGCAATTTGGTGGCGTTCAGGCTCATCCAATAACCGGATCTGGTTATCCTCCTCAGTCAACATCTTCTCGGCCAGCTGCGATGGTTCGAAAACATCCTTGAGATCCAAATGCTTTTCCTCGTCCTCTTCCTGTTCTTCTTCTTGCTCCTCCATCTCGAGAGCAAACAGGTACTCATTGCCGTCTCCGAAGGCGGCGCGCATATCATCGAGCGCATTCTCATCCAGACCAGTCGCATCTGTGACCCCCAGACCACCCTTGGATGTGCGGGCAACCTCATAGTCCTCGCGTTCACGCTGGACTTCCTCGTCAGAGAAGACATCCTCTTCGATAAAATCGTCCATCTCGTCGTGCATGGGCCTCCGGTGGCCGGATCGTCCGTAGTCGCCGGCCGGCTCCTCATCCTCATCGGAATTAAAGATATCGTCGATGCCCTGGGATGGTTGTCGTAGATCGCGATCTTTGTGTCCACGCTTAAGACGCTTAAATTTGGGCTAATTCCAGCAGGTTGTGTTAGTACGCGCGACAGGAGTTGTGCCCATGACGATGCGCTAGACATACCTCTGCTGCGGATGAAGACTGGAACCTCGGAGGTAGTTCACCGATGAGCTCTAGATCTTCTTCATCCAAATGTTCATCCTCGCGCTCACGATCCCTTTGTTTCCTCTTCTCCCGCCGGCGCTCGGCGCGCTCTTCTAATTCTTCATCCTCATCGACAATGAATCCTTCACGAACCTAACACGGAGAACGAAAGTCAACGCAGGAGCCAAGGAATTGCGCGCCGAGGTCAGTTCTTCCAAGGACTTACTGCACGGGCAGCCTCTTCATCATCATCATCCTCCTCCTCTTCTTCACTGGAGTCGTATTGATTGTTGTTGGTGCCAGCACCCTCTCGGACATCGCCGTCATAGTCGTCGGCCAACTCCTCGTCATTCTCATCGTCATCGATCATCGCCTCCCCCTCAACCAAGTCGCGTGCACTCATAGTGTGTTACGGTGTTACGTGTCCGGGGAGCTGGGAGGTGAATCGACTTCCTGCAATCTGCAAGAGATGGAGGAGAAAGGGAAGTTGAAATGGGCCGCTGCGGGGAGAATGCTCAAAAAGGATGGAAGCAGAAGCTTGACGAACAGTTGAATGGAAGGTCGACCCCTGGGGAACACGAGAGAAGAAGCCAAAGAACCGACAAGAGAGAGATTTGAGGGGTGAGACGGGGGGGAAGAGAGTGAAGTAAATGAGGAGCTGGTCTGGGAAGTGGTGGACTGGGAATCGAGTGATTGATTCAACACGGGCAGAAGCAGAGACGAGGCTGCTGCTGTGGCGCGGCTGGCTTTCTCTTTCACCGCTCAGGAAGATGTGGCTGGAATGGGAGAATGGGAGAATGGGGCGGGTGCACGTGATAGACATAATACAGCCTTCCACAACTACCCCAAGTGCAGTTTGATAGATCGAGCATGTCACATGACAATATTACGAGAGTCAGTTACTAGTTCATTTCTTGGGAAGACCAGAACAATTCGGTTTTCTTGACATTCTAAATTTACTCCTAGACTACCACCTGGATGGACTTTATTCTAGATGGAGTTCGACTCCCAGACAGAAACTAGTGTGGCGGAACCCCGCCAGTGAGTGACTCTCCCCCTGTTTCACTACTCCGTAGTAGTACCGGAGGCACAGTAGTTACCTTCAACTGTCCAGGCACTGAGAAAGAAAAATCAGATTTTTATTCCCTGTTTTTTTTTCCCTTAGTGCTTCTAAGAAGAAAATAGGATGATAACAAAAAAACGAGAGGTCATCTTGTTTTTCCAAAAAAAAAAAAAAAGAAAAGAAAAGAAAAAAGAAAAGAAAAGAAAAGAAAAGCAAAGAAAAGAGACTAAAAGGAAAGATGCATAAGTAGGCTGCTGCCCAAGTAGAACCAGTCCGGATAGATAAATGGATTGAAGAATAGATCCAAATAACTAGTTAAACCTATTTACTTGGCTATTTGGCTATTTGGCTATTTGATTAATGTTATTATTGTCAGTTTAGCTTGGAGGAAGTGGACTACTACTACTACTGCTACTACTAAGTTACTAGAAAGTACTTCCTTCCACCACCGTTTCCTTCTTTCACCACCACCAACTCTTCTCCCCCCTCATCCTCCTTCTCTTCTACTCCTCCTCCTCTGCCAAATCCTTATCTCTCGTTTCCCTACTCAACACCCCCCTGCTGATTATAATCACTCATCGCCTTTGATCTCTCCTCCGTGAAATTGCACCTCCCTAATGTTCCGCATCTTGTAACCGACCCCCGATCATCCAGCTGAACGCCCCCCCCCTCCCCACCTGTTCTTCCGGCTTTAGACGCTCGGCGCTTGTCCGGGTCGCAGCGCCGTCCGAGCCACTTTCAACCACAACTGTCGGTCTGCCTAATTACACAGTTTCGCTTCTACTGCGATCTCTAGCATTATTTATCCTCTTCATTACGGCGGCCTCGTCACGCCGCCTTCATTCCCTCCGCCTCTCCCCCCCACCGGTCCCCGTCATCAGTCGCCATGGCCGACCAGTTCAAAGCACGCACCCTGAAGCGCAAGAATGTCAAGGGACTTGCCTTGAATGCTGCTCCCAAACCCGCCTCAAACCCAAGCGATGGTGATTCTCAAGCTTCCGGCGCTGTCGGCAACGCCGAAACCACCCGCACCGACACCCTCGAGATTGGCCTGGAGTTTCGACTTGACCTGCGGAGTGAAGATCTCATTACTTTGAAGGAGTTAGGCGCGGGTAATGGTGGCACAGTCTCGAAGGTCATGCATGCGTCGACCAAGGTCGTCATGGCCCGGAAGGTATGCTTCTTGATACCCAGTGCACATGAAACTAGGCGATACTGATAGACGGGCTAGATCATTCGTGTCGATGCCAAGGAGAATGTGAGGAAGCAGATTCTACGAGAGCTCCAAGTGGGCCATGACTGCAACTCCCCCAACATCGTGACTTTCTACGGAGCGTTCCAGAATGAAGCTCGGGATATTGTGCTATGCATGGAATACATGGACTGTGGGTAGGTCGAGCGTCTTCTGCGGAGTTCTCCGCAAATGTATCCTTCCAACGCATTTATGGTTTGACTGGCTGACACAACAATAGCTCACTCGATCGAATTTCCAAAGACTTCGGTCCTGTTCGGGTAGACGTGCTTGGCAAGATCACCGAGTCGGTGTTGGCCGGTCTCGTCTATCTCTATGAAGTCCACCGAATCATGCATCGCGATATCAAGCCGTCTAACATCACGGTCAACTCACGCGGAAACATCAAGCTGTGCGATTTTGGTGTCGCTACCGAAATTGTCAACTCTATTGCCGATACCTTCGTAGGCACTTCGACCTACATGGCTCCTGAGCGAATCCAAGGAGGCGCTTATACAGTCCGCTCGGATGTGTGGAGTGTGGGACTGACGGTAATGGAACTGGCTGTCGGGCGCTTCCCGTTTGATGCCTCGGACTCGGCGGCAGGCGATCGCGCCAGCGCTGGCCCAATGGGGATTCTGGATCTGTTGCAGCAAATTGTGCACGAGCCTGCCCCGAAGCTGCCCAAAAGCGACGCTTTCCCACCCATCCTCCACGAGTTCGTCGCCAAGTGTCTTCTGAAGAAGGCGGAGGAGCGACCAACACCACGGGAACTTTACGTATGTCATCTCTCCATCGTTGCTTAGATGGTGCGCAAGACTGATAGTCATTCTAGGACAAAGATGCATTCCTGCAGGCCGCCAAGCGGACCCCAGTAGATCTTCAGGAATGGGCCATCAGTATGATGGAGCGACACAACCGGAAGTCATACCTCGCCCCTCCGGCGCCCAAATCACTCAAGGATGATATGCAATTCTCCTCTTCCTCTCACCAGCCCAGCCCCGCGGTCAAGCCTCCTGTTAGTAGTAAAGCCCCCGTTGGCAAACCGTCGCGCACTCCGCAGTACGCCTCTCCCTCGTCCTCGTCCGGCGATATTCCCGTCATGGGTCACGACATGCCCGCACACTACGCCCACAACTACGTTCCCGCCAACCCCTCGCCCCGGCCCCGACGAACCACTCGCTCTCCACCCATATCTTTGGAACACCTGTCGCTAGAGAACCGAGAGGAGGAGTATCGCTCTGGCCGACGGCCTTCCCGCACCCCCGTGGGTGGCCCTTCCCCGGGGTTGGAACCTCCCATGCATCCCATGAGCTCCCGCTCAGCGAGCTCCCACAACACTAAATCGAGAATGCCGCTGCAGTCGGCAGCTGCCCTCCCCGTGCGCTCACCGCACAACGGTCCGTCTTCGGGCTCCAGCGGCAGTGGTTCCTGGCAGCGGTCTATGCGCGGCGATCATATGACCGGTGCTGTCTAAACGAATTCATCGTTGATGCAGGACGTCTCTTTGTCTTCATGCCAACATGCTCCCCTTCCTCACCCTTTGCATCATCAAGGCGTAATTCCATCATTGGCCATCAATGTCTTCTGTCTTTCACCATTGTCCCAGCCTCTTTTATCAACCTGGCATCTCTTCTTCTATCTACATACATAGCTATACATACATGTACCCTTTTCCCTTCGATTTCTACATCATATTCTGCCTCACATTATAGCCTCCCCCAAATGCCCTGCGATCCATTCCGAGACAGTGAAAACGGTATTGGCGTTGCAGCAATTCTTTGCGTTGCGTTCAGTTGACCTTGGTTGTGAATCGTGAGGCAGGGACTCTCGGATCTCATGTTACATATTGGTTGCTTCTTCTTCCTACTCTTTCTGTCTACTTTCTTTGGCTCATTTTTTCTCCTCCTGTTGGAGCTATATTCCTCTTGGGCATGGAAAGACCTGGGCCCGACGAATGCGAACACGAGGATGATTTTGTGGGAAAGCGTACATGCGTGTCTGTAAGGTCCTGCACTAGCTGCAGGTAGCTGCACTGCGGTCGGAAGGTTTCCAAGGAGAGGGAAGGGGAAATGCCCTACTGGCCCTTATATACTGCGGAGACATGTGAAGAGCCGTTGCAATAATTGCCGGGTGACTGTATTCAAGGCCAGACTCGGAGTAAATTGTAAATAGTCCCAGTATAAACCATTACCGAGCGAGCAGGAGACAAACATTGGAAGCGAACAAGTCAATAAGCGAAGCAGTAGAACAGAATTAAAGCAAACACCGATTCCCGAAACATGCAGCAGGTTCACGATTCCCGATTACACCTAGAACAGACAAAAGAAGGAAAGACGTTAAGCATCCGTGTTTCATGGCATACTCCGGAGCCGGAGGGGGCTCTGGGACACCTTCGAGCCACACCATTCTGCAGAAGACAGCCTCTATCCATATCTCCTCCCAAGATCGGAGCCTGTAGCTGGACTGGGACCAGCAGGGGCGGGGGCGAGACTCGGCCTTGGGGCTAGCTCAACCATCGGCGTCTTGCCCCCACGAGTACTCGTTGAACCACCGCGACTCGCAGCACCCCCTCCGCGACCGGAGGTCGATGCGGTGCTGCCGGTCTTGTCATGGTCTGCTTGGTGCCGGGCAGCTTTGCTGACGCGAGCCCGGCGAGAAGTGTTGCCGCCACGCGATCCAGGACCGCGGACAGGTAGGCCAGTCTCCTGAGAGATGGGAACGGCGGCAGCCAAGGGCACTTGGTGGTGTGTGGTGACCGGGGCCCGACCGCGACCACCACGGCCCCGGCCACGGCCTCTTTTGATCGTGCCGTCCGCCCTAAATGACAAAAGAAAATCAGCAATGGCATTCAGGAAAGATCGTCAACTTTGGGTGAGTGCTCACCGTTCCACTTGCACCTTCTCGCCCTCGGGTACCAGTGGGCCACTGTAGACGAAAAATCCATCCTTGCTGGCGGCGGCCTGTTCCTGCCAGGCCAACTCACTGTCATCGACAAATGGATCATCCCGATCATATTCCTCCATCTTCTTCTTGCGTCGTTTCTTCTTGCCGTCAGTGAGCTCAGGCCCAGTGGACCGCGCGGATGCGCCGATGGCGCCATCCCCATCCATTTCACTGTCGCGGTCGACGTCAAGGGTGAGATCCTCGTCCGCACTTTCCCCGGCAGAAAATCCTCGTCCAGTCTTGTCGTTGCGCTCGAGGGCCGCTCCAGCGGCTGCGACTCGCGCTAAGCGCTCCTTTTGGGCCGCAAGTCGCGGATGTAGCGCCGCGAAGCCGTACTGTTCCTCTGCCAGGCGGGCAAAGTTGACAATTCTGTTGCCATTGCCTTTGAGTGGGATGTGAAGGATTATATTAGGGGTCCGACGCTGCGAAGCTTCGCTTGTGGAGGTGCTACCGTCCACGCCAAAGAGAGCATTGGAGATCAAGCCTGAACCTTGAGGTAATGGGGGAGGAGCTGAGTCCTTGACCGGTTTGGCAGGTTTGGGCGATGTGGCATTAGACGCTGGTGCGACTCCAGGACTGGATTTCGCATCCTTCTTAATTGCCTTGGATGCAGCAGTCGCCGAAGCGGGAGGGTCCGTATCGACATCCATCGGTGTTGGCGCGGGGGACGGCGGTGCCTTTGTAGACGGGGCGGGAGCGGGTGGTGCTGGTGCCGGTGCCGGTGCCGGCGCCGCCGCCGCCACTACCGCCGTCGGTGGTACTGATGGCGATGCTACAGGTAGGGGTGTAGAAGATGGTGTAGCGGAAACTGTTGTAGATGGTAGCTGTACCGACTGCGATGGCTCCGGGGCCGGTGCTGGTGGAGGCGGCGCAGCATAAGGAGATCGATGGGCATAAGGTGAGGTCGGTTGAGACTGTAGTTGAATAGGCACTTGAGGCGGCGTGGGTGCGGGTTTAGGAACCGCGGGGGAGGGAACATAACTGGGGGGACCTAAAACAGGAGACGCATATGGTCGGGGGGTGTATATCGATGGGGCTGCCGTTGACGGCGGATCAATAATGCTGGCAATGGCGGGTGATGCACTGGCGCGGTTGGGACGGGGAGAGATGGAATGTGTAGGAGGACTGAATGCCGGAGGGGCGGAGGCGGAAGTATCAAAGGCTGAACGAATCGGATCGAAGTTCTGGCCGCTGGTCCGCTGCGGAGGCTGAGAAGCAGTAGGCGGGGGAGGAGCATGATGATGGGGGGGTGGTGGTGGTGGTGGCACGGACGGCATCATGGTCAAATAAGGTGAAGCCGCAGGCGGGGGAGTGGGAGTGGGATGAGACGACGGAGGTCGGGATAAGGTCGCGTGGAGTGGACGCGTTGACTGCATAGGCGCCGGATGATGTGAAGGGACGCTGGGCCGTGAAGGACTAGCCCCCGGAGTGCTGGGAGTCGGAGCTGAAGCCGCGGTCACCGCAGCATTCACCAGGGGAATGGCCGAGAGGGGAGGAGTATGAAGGGCGTGTAAAGGTTGTAAAGGTACTGGGGCTGCTACTGCGGCTGTTGCGGTCGCTGCATACGGCAGAGCAGGCCCGGTCGGTCCAGGCACAGAGACAGTCGCGGGCGCCGGACTATGGTCTGGAGTGGCGGGCTCTAACTTTGGCTTCTTGCGGGCTTGTGAAGACGATGAAGCTAGATGGGCACTCGTCGTCGACAGGGACTTGTCTCGGTGGCGCCGACTGCCTCGTTTGGGCTCCTTTTCGCGATTCTCCTTGTTGGTATTGAGGTCTTGATCTTCCTCCTTCTTATCCTTCACTTTAACCGATCGGACCGTATCTTTGCGGTCGGCTTCGTGGTCGTCGTCCTTCTTGCGACGCGACCGTCGAGGGCGAGTTTCGCGAGGGGTACCGTCGTGTGTGGTGCGGGACTCGTGTTCGTCCTGGGCCGGTAGATTGGAGGGCTCGGGGGACATGATGAGCAGCAATAGACGAGTCGAGAGAGGAGGGGGGGGGAGAGAGG